GCTCACTGCTTACAGCTCACTGACAGCAGCCAGCAAACACACAGGGGCAGGCTGGTCACACAAAGGGCTTAGCTCTAGTCCCTGGCCACCACAGCCACCAACGCGCGCGACCAGGACTACCTCTGCTTTCGTTGAGTTGCAGTGGCTCCAACAGAAGCAGGATGGCTGAGAAGACTGTGAGTCATCCTCAGTGTGAGAAATCACCAAGGCTGCCAGGGCAAGGCCGAAGACAGACATTTTCCAAATCAAAGAGCAACCATTCTGGATCATTTTATTGGAAAATAAGCTTAGAAATAGGATATAATTGGTTTAAATACAATTATTTTATGCTGGAAATGTATCACTCCATTAGATAGAGAGGTAAAAATAATTAAGGGCAGGTTATCACAACTTCATACAATTCGAAGAGAACTCAGCACATTTTAATCCAAAGACCAGAAACATTTATCAAGGTCCTTAATTTAGAAAAAGCAATTTAGAGAGCTATAACCTGGTGCTGACAAGTGCTGGAATTACTGACCCTTCACATCACCACGCAGGGAGCAAGGGACTGTGGGAGTAATTGCTTTCTGATTCAGTTTCTTCTTCAGAAATATTAAAAAAACAAGTTTTAGAAATATGACTTTTGGCGGCAGAGGAAAAGGACATTTAATTATTATTTCCCTATTTTTTCCTATTGTATTGCTCTATAATTTTTTATTTATACTAGTTTATTTACAAAGTTTTAATACATTTATTTCCAGAACATATTCTTCCAATTTCCCTAATCTCCCCAACAAATTGTACAAACCCATGATTAATTCCCCCTTCTCCTGCACATCCTCATCCCTCTGCTTCCATACCCCGCCTTGGAGTCTTATATTCATTCTACAATAATGGTTTTATACCATATTTATCCTTACAGGAATGAGTTAGTTCACCCAGCGTAATGCTCTCCAGTCCCTCTCAAGTTAGGAAATAATTTACAAAATCATTGCTCCTGCATGCTTTGTAGTATTCCATTATGTGAATGTACCATAATTTCTCAAACCATTTGTTTGTGATTGGACATTTGGGGTGTTTCCATGTTCTAGTGATGGTGAATAATGCTGCTTAGAACATTGGTATACAAGTCCTTATTTTATTTTTAAAAATCACCATTAGTTTCTTTGAACCAGGAGAAAGCAGTGCCACTTCAGGAGGGGCATGGAAAGGATGGGCCTTGTGTGTGTGATTTACTGCCTCTGAAAACCTACTGTGTGCTGGTTCTTACTTGTCAGTACACAGCAACTTCAGGAGGAAGATGTGTCCCTTCTTCTCTGTGTCCCTCCCTGATTCTGCTCGGTCCAGAACAGCCTTCCTGAGGCTGTACGAGAGGCAGAGTGGGGGCCACTGTAGCTAGAAGACCCCACTGTTATCACCAGGCTTCCACCCACTGCCAGTGAGTGGAATCCCACTTACAGTAACCCTTCAATTGGGTTTCCAAGACTGGATATTTTTATGGAAAATTCCCATCTTCTTCCTACAAAATAACTGCTGGATCCAAACTGTCGGCCTCTTGGTTAGGAGTCCAACACATGTTGCATGACACTACCAGAACTTCTTAACATAGGGCCTAGCAGTGCTTGCTCTTATTAAGTCATATGGTTGTTGAAAAGAAAAGTACATTAAGACGATGTCAGGGAGGAGCAGGGTTTTAAAACTGGATGAATGTATTCATTTCCTGGCAACAAGAGAAATATTTTTTTATATCAAATTTGCTGTTGCTGCCCAGATTGTAAGTTAGTTTTACATCTCTTCTGCATTTGAAGCAGTAACAACAGTCTTTCTTGGGAACATATATATCGATGCATATATTTAATGCTCTTTTAGTGAGAAGCAATGAAGAGGACCTGAATGGCCCTCTTTTGTCTACATTAATTCTAAAAGGTACACAGTTCTCTTAACTTACAAGCACCCTTCAGGTCATAGGGTATCTGATAGCAATTTATATCTACAGTTAAAAATCTTACATGTTTACTAAGAAATAAAAAACTGGGGGAAAAGCCTATTTACATTGTCAGAAAGAGATCAGTAAGTTGATAGAAAACTCCTGTGAAAGACGCAGCAGTTAGTAAAAGGTTTCTAAAAGGAACCTTTTAAAGTGGAAGGAACCACTAGTCTAATATGAGTATTTCTTTAATCTTTATACAGAGTATGCTATCAGAGTTTTTAATGGATCCTGAAGCTCAGGCCTTTCATAACATCAACAGTAGAGAAATTAGCTCTAACTCAATTCACTGCACTTCCTTCTGGAAATACAATAATCCTGCATAAAAAAAAATGGGAGCCCAGAGCGGATCATTTGTTATACTTATTTTTCTGATGAAATCTTTAGCAAGCTACATTTTCTTATCCTTGATTCTCTCTCCTTTTTTAATTGGCTTAATTGCAAATCTTATAACTGGATGAAAAATGGTCATATAGTCACTCTAATGACACCAAACAACCAGACTCTTACTGACAGGAATAGTGATACATCTTGAATTACAGCCCCCTTAGTATATGCCTGAATGTTTATGTATTTATTTTTACTGAGCAAAAAGTAAATATCGTGCATAATAGAATTTAAAAATAGCTTCAGAACATTTCACACAAACATTCCTGCTACCATCATTTCTTTCTTTTCATGTTTTTTAGCTACCCAATCACCTATGGAAAATCATTTGAGGGGGAGAAAATGTCTTTGTGTGTGCCCTTATTTTCATTTTTATATCTACTTTATGCTTGTTATAAAATAGGAAACATCTTTGTTTTCACCACAAATGTCCAATGGCATATTCCTCGGCAAAAACTTCACCAAGTCAAAGCATACAACATCCCAGAAGAAGTCGGATATAGAATAAAAGCTGTGCAATTTAGATATTGCCATCCTCAGTCCTGTTGTTGTTATTAGGTGGTGCTGAGTTAGCTGTGATTCACAGTGACCCTATGAACAAGAGATCTGAACCCTGCCCTATCCTGCCCCAATCTCACTCACCGTCCCCAATAGAACTGAGCCTATCGCTACAGTCCCTTTGTCGATCCACCTTGCTGAGGGTCTTCTCTTCTGCAGATACTCCACCTTTCCAAGCATGATGTCTTTTCCCAAGGATTGATCAGCCCTAACAATATGGTTGAAGTATGCGAGATGAAGCTTCACAAACTTTGCCTCTAAGGAGCATCCTGGCTGTACTTTCTCCAAGACATGTTTGTTCTTTTGGCAGTTCAACAGATATTCAGTACTCTTCAATACCATAAGTCAAAGGTATTGATTCTTTTTCTGTCATCCTTGTTCACTGTCCAACATTCAGATGCTTCGAAAGTAACTGGAAAATGCCATGACTTGAATCAGGTGCACCTCAGACCTTAAACGGACATGGCTGCTCCTCAGCACCTTGCAGGAGTCGTTGACAGCAGATTTTCCAAAGCAACACATCTTCTGATTTCCTGATGGCTGGTATCAAGAATGTGGATTGTGGATCAAAGATGAAATCATTAACAACTTCAATCTGTGGCCCTGTGGTGAGGATTTTTGTTCTCTTGACATTGCACTATAATTCATACTGAAGGCTGTGGTCTTTAATCTTCTATAGCAAGCATTTCAAATCCTTTTTGCTTCTGGTGAGCACTGCTGTTTCATCTGCATAATGTAGATTGTTAAGGAGTTTTCCTCCCATCTTGATGCTAGACCTCTTCAGAAAGTCCACCTTCTTAAATGATTCGCTCTGCATACAGATAAAAGAAATATGGAGAAAAGATATAGCCCTGACAGACACCTTCCTTGATTTTAAACCATGTAGTGCTCTGTTGTTCTTTTCAGACAACAGCTTCTTAGTCTAGGCATAGATTCTGCATAAGAATATTAAGTTTCTGGAATTCTCCTTCTGCTCATTGTTAACCATGTTATGATCCACACAGTCAAATGCCTTTGCATAGTCAGTAAAGCACAAATAGCAATCCTTTTGGAGTTCTCTGCATCAGTCAAGATCCATCTGACATCAGAAATGTTCTCTCTGGTGCTAAAGAATCCAGCCTGAATTTTGGCATTCTCTGTTGATGTACTGTTCTGGCCAATTTTGGCTAATCTTGAGCAAGATTTTACTTGTATAATGTTGTTGAGTAATTTCTCTATTCTGTTGGATCACCTTCTTTTGATATAGGAGCAAATATGGATCTCTTCTAGTAAGATGGTCCAGCAGCTTATTTTCTATATTTCTTTACACAGACTGGTGAGCATGCCCAGGGCTGCGTCTACTTGTTGAAACATGTCAATTGGCATCCGATCAATTCCTGGGGTCTTATTATTTTCCAATGCCTTCACTTCTGCTTGAACTTCTTCCTTTATTACCACTGTGTCTTGTTCTTATAGTACTTCCAATCAATTCTTTTTGGTATAGTGACTAACTTAATAGTTAATTTAAAATTAACCTTTAACAAGAATAAAATCTTTATTTCAAGTACTATTTGGATGTCAGAGCAACCAATCTTATGATATAGAGCCGATTAAATTCAACAAGAATTAGGACTTAGAAGATCCACAGAATGGGAGCATCAGTAGTGCTTGGCACAGAACAGTTCTAACACTGGGTCTGAGGTGACAGGCAGAGTTCAGACAGACTGATAGTAAGAAGAAAAGAGCAAAGATGAACACATTTAGGGAAAGGGCTGAAGAGTCTGAATGGAGTAGGAGAAATCCTTGTGACAGGGAAGGTAGGATAAAATAACAGCTTTGAGCTCGAGTTAATTCTGAACAGAATCAACAGGAGATCTGGGGTTTGCATATTGCTGACTTCTAGGTGGAGACCCTGATTAACGGAGAGTGAACCAGGCTGAGCAGCACCCAGTACACACCTGAAAGTTAAATTTGCTTTCAAAGCAGGCTTCAAATCATAGACTTGCATCCTCAATATTTCAAAATTATCAGCTTAGAGTAGCAACCACAAACAACAAAAAGTTAGATTAAATAAAATTTAAGAAGTTTTAGGTTAAAAACTACATACCTTGGCATGATGTAAATCAACCCCATACATGGATAGTTTTTTGGCATTTTCCAAGAAATGCATCTCTGCTTCTGCTGGTGTCATTCCTCTGATAAGGAGAAAAAGAGTGCATTACAATGCAGCTTCCTTGCTTCTTAGCTGGGCTATAACATGCCTCGCTTAGGTTAATCTAACCCATTAACAGCATAGAACCACGAGTGTCTACACCTTTGGGGAGAGTGCAGAGTAAGCAATTCCTGAATGTTCTCATTAACAGTCCCAGGACTTCACCAGGTACAGGTGATGGAAGTTCTTATCTTTAATTCACTGAACTCAAACCTGGGAAGATGAGTTCTACAAGTGATGCTCTCCCAAGGTGACAATGAAATGCAATGTCCCTGGGGTTTCTGTGACTGACCTGTGGCTCTTGTGCAGCTCAATCACTTTATCTTCCAGTTCTTTAGTATGGTTTGGTGCGAAGCGGAAATCGCTGACATAATCGTTCCCACATTCGTCGGGATCATAGTCACCCAGCTCGGACTGCACGGTGTAAGAGCCCAGCAGGGCCAGTGTCACAAATGAGCAGGGAAGTCTGCCAGACACAATGTCATCCCGCAACTGCAGGCAGAGGTAGTACCTTCCAGGAGCCAACAGACAAGCCAAAGAGTCAGCATCAGGAAGAGGAGGCACGTGATACACATTCACAGCTTTTCCTACTGAGTCAAAGCTCCTGACAACTTTTGTGACATCTACATTTTTATCTCAATTCAGGATGAAAAAAACCCATACTTGGCTACAAACAACTGTCAATATTTAAGGGTCCCTAGAACTAAGTCAGTGGTCAATATAAAATAGACACTTGTTAATAAAACACAGAATAAGAGACCTCTAAAGACCTATTCTACCAACATCTTCTCAAAGAATTTTTAAAGTCAAGTGAACAATTTTCATCATGTTCCCCATAATCTTGGTTAATAACAATAAAAAACAATGCTCTTAAATAGAATTATCAGGACTCAACTAGCATTAAGCAAGTTTCATCTCAGTATAGAGATTAGAGGTTTCCCTACGTGACCAAGAGTGATTTCTGGTAATTCCATAAGTACATCATCATAAACCTCATCTCAATTTCCCGCACCCTTAATGAAGCAGTCTCTTTGCAAAGCAGAAATTTCTCTGCTTTTATGTTTTCATTTATTGATTTAATTAAGTTTCTAGAATCTTATATCAAGTCACTGAAATCTGAGACCCCAGTCACCACAAACAGCTTTATTTTGGGGGAATGTAAAACTATCTTCTACGTAATTTTTCCAAGATGTAATAAAAAATATCTCCACTAGGAGGTGGCTTGTTGTTTCTGTTGTTTTGTTTTAGAATTTATTGACATATCAGAAAACTCAAGATGAATGCTAATGTAGATGAGTTATAATAAAGCCTATCACAATCTTGTATATTTGTAAAAAACAAAATTCATCCTATATTTTTCATATAAGAAATGAACTGTAATATATTAGATATTGCCTGAAAATTTGCCCTAAGTATGACTTTAAGTTTATGATACACATGAAGTGTGTATAATTGAGATATAATTAGTTAACAAATACTTAACAGCCTCTAAAAATTCCTTAAGTAGAACATGCACTAACTTCTCAAAGGCTGGAATAGGAGGGTTCCTGGTAATGCAATAGGTAAGTGCTCAGGGCTAACCCAAAGATCAACAGTCCAAGCCCACTAGACCTTTTATGACTGAAAAGAAGTGGTGACACACACTTGTAAAGATTTCAGTCTGTGAAACTCTATGGGGCAGTTTTCACCTGTCCCATGAGTCAGAATCAACTTGGTGGCACACAACAACATACGCTTTTTTGCCTTCTCCTTCTGAACATTTATATACCTCTTACTAGTTATCCTATTTTTTTAAATTTTATAAATTTTAATGAACATTTACAGAGATTTTGGATTTCCATTCATTCATTGTTTCATTTTTCTCCCTGTCCACCCCTCCACCCATTTCACTCTTCCCTTTGAAAAGTAAAATTCCTTCATTGGTATATTCAATTCCACCCCCGTCACATTGAGTACTCTAGTTACCCTATTTTTATAATAACAGTCTTATGCAGTATTGACCTTATGTGACTGAGCTAACTGACTCAGCATCATGCTCTCCTGGCTCTCCCATGTTATACAGAAGGGGGCGGACAAGGGGGAAGGAGGGAAATCACGAAGACAGCACAGGTTAGTGGGCAGATGGGGGTGGGGTGATGGATTAGCGAAGATTCAATGGGGGCTTGAAAATAACAGTCCTAGATCAATAGTAATTATTATGTAAAATATAATGGTTATGAATGATTGTACAAAAGTGTAGGAACAAAACTCAATGTCTATGAAAGATTGTATAAAACACAATATACATATATGTATGAAACACAATTCATAGAAATAATTGTATGCAAATCAATAAAAATACATGAAGGGGAAAAAAAACCCAAGCAAATAAACAAAACCATAATCTCTATAACCACAATGAACTGAAATTAAACATTTCCTAAATCCTCCAAAAGTATTTTTATATACAAAACTTCACATATAACCTTCTTCCAATTTAAAAAGATCATAAGGAGATCCAATGGAAGTAGTTTTTACCCTTCTCCTAATATGTCTAGAAGGCGCTGGTGGCTTTGTGGTAAGTAGCTGGGCCGCTAACTGAAAGGAATCCAGTTTGACTCCATCAGCTGCGCCGCAGAAGGATGGGCAATCTTCTATGTGATTTACTGCCTCTGAAAACCCACTGGAGGGTCAGTTACAAGTTGGTTTTGACTTGACAGCCCGGAACAACAAACAATGTATCTAGTGAAGTTAATGAAATCATACCAAGTGATGCAAGCTGTCTGGAGTAATATCTATCACTTGCCAAATGCCTCCCGAAAGGATCCCAGGCTTACACAGAATGGCTGGCCTATGTCATGCACCTAGCTCTGGCCTTCAAGGATCAGAGGGAGCATGAGATCCTGTGGAGGGCACATGTAGGCAGCTTTACAGCAGCTCTCCTCTTCTGTTTCAGGCACCATCTCCATGCCAGGGCATTTTTATGTTTTATGCTATTCAGTGACTGGGGTAATTGGGATGGGTGCACTGGAGACAGTGCGATCGGCACAGGACAGAGCAGAGTTTAGGGCCCTTGTACATAGGGTCACTATGAGTTGAAAGTGACTCGATGGCACATAACAACAACACAACAACATGTTTTCAGAAAGGAAATGAATCACTCTCTTTCTATAAACAGGGAAGGGAAAATAAAATCTCAAACACATATGTGAATGTATATCTGCACATGTGTATTTGTGTTTCTTGATGTATGTGTCATTTTTTTTTAAACAGCTGTCAAGTGCCAAGTATAAAAAGCATAAGCATCCAAGATATATTTCCAGACCAAATTTTAAAGTAGAAGTGTGAAGCCAGTACCACATCATTTAAGGCTGACTCGCATCCAATCTGGCCACGGTGGGTGGATTACAGACTCTCAATTTGGCGTGTTTTCCCAGCAGGGTCAGCCACAAAGAAGCATCAGCCTAGCGCCCAAAATGCAACTGTGAACAGACAGGACTGGAAAACCCTCTTGTTGGATGTCTGCTCTCAGCCAGTCTTTTGTTTGCCATTTGAGTGTGGTTGATGGTGAGGCTACCAGAGGTAAGCGTGCTCTTTGCTGAAGTTGCAGAGAAGCCAGCTCTTTGAATATACCTGTCATTCTATGGCCAACAATCAATTACCTGGTGATATCTTCGGATAGTTGGGCTGGGTCTGGAGGGTAAAATTTCACATTAAAGGAAAAGTGCCAAGCACCACCTGCAGGAAAGGCAAAAAAGCAAAGTAAAACCTCAGAAAGCAATCTCTTTCATGACCTAACTGGTGGCCTGCAGCATTAACGGCAAGCACTAAGACTTGGGCCATTTCTCACTACTTGTCTCACTGGGCAACACAGATAAGCCTGGAACCTCATATAATTACTAATCTTCTGGAGCGTCTCAGCAACAAGAGGACTGACAAACCTGCCTTTCCCTTTCAAGGACAAAGGTAAACACTGAGAAGATGGGGGGTGGGTGGAAATGAAGGCATGGCTAAGGCGATCAGACAAGAGTAGCAGCAGGGCTGACTCACAGCCATGAATTTCTTGACAGCTCTTGCAAGAAAAGGTCAGCCATAACTCCCATGTGTTTTGTTATGATAGGTCAAATTCCATGACAGTAAATGTCAGAGGACCATCAGACTATTTTCTTTCTTTTAAATGAGAGAGGCTTGTTGGAGTGAATGCTGCTTTAATAAGCAGAGTGTTGAGAATTCTTTTCTTAATCAGGGAAATTTTTTCCTGAATGCATTTGAATGCTGTGCATTTCCAAATCTCATCATCAGTTCACGACCTGGGTGGACTCTCTTTATGCCTTTCCACACTTTGTATTGTATCACCTACCTGTTCTCTCTATTGTCAACATGCACATCACAAACCCTATAAAGTCTTATAAAACACTGTATGAATTATCATCATAAACATGAAAAAGAAAAGTTACTGTCTTCTTTTCTGTATTCAATTTCTGCATGCTCACTCTTCCACTTCCACTCACTTTGTTCCTTCTAACCTCTACATGCAGTAATTCAATGCAGAAGCTGGTGGGGGGAGGAGGGTTTCTTTCTCTAGGACACAGTTCACATTTATTGTCTCCATCCCTCCATCCAGTGAGAGGTCCCTACCTCGATGCCCCCCCCCGCCACCCCGCCCTAGGTCCTGCTTATACGCTGATGGCCTTGTGATAAGAAACCACACTGCAATCCAAAAAGCACACTGTTCAAATCCACCAGTGGCTTTGTGGGAGGAGGGCCATTTTTCCTCCCACACAATTTATTGTCTCTGTAAACCTGCGAGAGGATCAGCTATGGGTTGGTTTGACAGCACACAACCACCACCCAGGGACAGGGCCCCTGCTAGGTTCTGCTAACATTCTGCATGTATTACTGAGGCCTTCCTCATTAATGTTAGATTCACCAGTGGAAGCCCATCATCTCCTGAAGCCATGCTCTCATCTCACAATTCTGTGACCAGACTTTATGCTTCCTCAGACTTTCAATCACTCCCTCCCTTTTCCTTATTAAATGTCTTCTAGAAATTACATCTCTCCTTGAGTCCATTTCGACAGTCAGAAGAAAAGGATAATGCTGTAGGTACTTCCTAGCCCCCTTTCCTTGCATAATTCTCTTGCATATGGATCAAGGACTTAACTTTCTAGGTTTCCTGTAAGTCTGCCATTTCTGGCCATCAGGAAATGCAAATATCCATTTAAGAATACTAATTTATTCTTGACACTAAGAATTTACCTTGCAGGAACAATACTTAAGATGTCTTAAAAAGGACTTAGCCTAGGACCAGGTATTATTGGAAGATTAATGTTATTTTTAGACCATCCAGAATATATTATTAAAACACAAGCTATAAATATTAAGATCCATAACACTATCTATAAACAAATGTATTTTTAATTTTTTTCATTGTGGTAAAAATGTACCCCATTCATTATTCTACAAATAGCCTGACTGGGTCTTGCTTTCCTATTGATTTTCTATAAAAACAGATCCTTCAACACTTGCCAATGGTAAGGTTCATAATGAGAGTCCATTTCCTTAAAGTGGAATTAAAACTAATGGTCAATTATGGAATTATGGGAAATGGATATAATGTCCTTTTTGAGTTTTTATCCACATTGACATATGCCTTACTTCCAAAGAATAGTTTAGCAATATAATTAAAATAAACTGGTGGTATAGTGTGTCACATGTGGGGCTATCAAAAAATGCTGGCTGTTTGAATCTACCAGCTTCTCTGTGTGAGGAGGATGAGGACGTCTTCTGTAAAGATTCACAGCCTTGAAAAGTCAGTGGAGAGCAGCCAGGAGCAGGAACTGGCTTGACAACAGTGGGTATAGTTTCGGTAGAAAACATTTAGGACAAAAAACTGTAGGTTGGGGGGGAAAAAAGGTATAGAAAAGATATTTCAATGCAAAAAATAAAAAAAAATCCTTTTTTCTAGGAAAGTATCTTTGGGATCCCCGTGCACTCAAAGAGCCTCAGTGGTGCTTGTTAAAAATGCTGACTGGAATCCATGCCGAGATTTTGAACATGATCTAAAAATTTGTGGTTCTCACAAGCCCTGCTTGTGGTCCAAATAAAGGAGGCCTTGGGACTATATTGTGAAAACCACTAATCTTAAGCATCCGACTACCATGCTGCTCATTGCTGTTGAGTTGGTACCAACTCCCAACTGACCTCTGCATGGGTTGTAAATTGCATAGAAGATGGATTGTCTTTCTCCAGTGATTGTACTGGTAGATTTGAATGCCAGAGCTGTGGACTTTGGGTTAGCAGGGCAACTTCCTGCAGTGTATGTAACTACAACTCTCTTAAGCTGCCAAAGAACTCTTTAAAGGGATAAGAGCAAGGATGTCACTTAAAGACTGAGGTGCATCTGGTCCAAGCCATAGCATTTCACATTGGTTCATATTCATGTAAAATTTGGACAATGGCCGGGAAGACTGAAGAAGAATGGATGCCTTAGAATTGTGGTTTTGGTAAAGAAGAATGAAAATATCATGAACTACAAAAAACCAAACAATCCATCCTGGAAGAAGTACAGCCAAAGTGCTCCTTAGAAGCATAGATAGTAAGATTTTGTCTCACATATTTTTGGACATATTATAAGGAGGGGATAGTACTTGGAAAAGAATATCATACTTGGAAAAGCAGAGGATCTAAAAAGGAGGAAGACACTCAAGGACATGGATTTACACCAACTGCAACAATGAGTTAATGAAAAGGGGAGATTGTCAGGATGGCAGAGGGTCAATTGGGGCTTCCTCATGCTGTACACCAGGTCACTTTGAATTGTTGACAAAATGGTTAGCTAACAATGACAATGACTCCAAATTACCACATGCTTTCACAACGTGCTATTATTGAAGAGTTGGAAAGTTAAGAAAACTACAATCTGTATCTTAACCAAGAGGGGGAAAAAAATTGAATCAGGCTTAAACTAGAAATGAATCAGACAGACAGATTAAAGCATACATATATACCCAATAAAGTGAAGTATCCCATCGAAACAAATTGGATCAAAGAGTATGCTTATGTATTTTGGTTGCTAACTGAAAGGTCTGTGGCTTGAACCAACCATTCTTCAGAAAGGCATGTGAGGCAGATTGCTTCTGTAGAGCACAGCCTTGGACAGCCTGTGGGCAATTCTACTCTGTCCTCGAGGGTTACTCCGAGTCAGAATAGATTCAAAGGCAATGAGTTCCTCTCAGATGATGGCTAGTTCCATTTAGAAACAGGAAATGAAACAGCCTGAATATATTAAAATGAATATTTCTAGAATGCTGCTATAGAATTTTAAATAGCAAATTTATGATGAATAGAAAATTGTGAAACTGAATAGAGTTCATTCTTACAAAGAAATTATAAATTTAGTGGCTTATACATGCCAAAATGCTGAAATTTAGTAGCCTCCGCGAGCCAATCAACACCAAAGATGTCAGCAGTCAAGAAATCAAAACATTTAGTGCACTGTAAAGTCTGCTATTAGAGATCTCTCCAAAGTACTGAGGAGCAATAATGTCAGTTGAAAGACTAAGGTGCATCTGATTCAGGCTGTGGTTTTCTCAATCACTTGCTGTAAACTTGAGAGTTGGACAATGAGGAAGGATGAGAGAAGAGGTGATGCCTGTAAGCTGTCATGTTAGAGAAGATTATTGAATATCCTTTGGACTGCCAAAGGAACAAACAAATATATCTTGGAGAAAGTACAGCCAGAGAGCTTCTTACAGGCAAGGATGGCAAAACTTCACCTTACATACTTTGGACATGTTGTTAGGAGGGGCTATTCCTTGGAAAGCTTGGAAAGATGGAAGGTTGGTGACGGAGAGGAACACCTTCAATCAGGCAGACTGACACAGTGACTGCAGCAGTGGGGTCAAGTATGTCAGAGATGATGAGGATGACACAGGATGGATGAGTTTCAGGTGTGTTGTACAGTACCTAACAACAACAAGCATGCACATGCTGAATATTAAAATTTTTAATATACTACATTGTAACAAAATTATGATGGTATTAGTAGGCTACGTAATGGACTGTAATAAAAATGTTAGCAGTTAGTAACTGACAAGTGCTTTTCAGGAGAAAGATGCATCAATAGGCTTCCATTAAAGATTCACCACTTCTGAATTCTGATGGAGAGCCACTGTCAGTTAGGACAGAGTAAATGGCAGGGTGTTTGGGTTTTGGCATTTTTATACTATATATCATAAGTGAGGTACTTTGGTGGCACAGTGAGTGATGTACTAGACTGGTAACTCAAAAGCTGGCAGTTTGAAACCACTAGTCACAAACACCTGAAGTAGTGCAGCTATGAGTTAGTAGGTTCAACGGCAGTGGGTTGGCTTTTTATTTACATCCAAATGACTATGGCTTAAATATATTCTGAACACTTGATCGTTCTAATGCGAAACTTATACTTGGACCAGGAGGCAGTCGTCAGAACAGAGCAAGGGAACACTGCATGGTTCAAAATTGGGAAAGGCGTACGCCAGGGATGCATCCTATCTCCATACCTCTTCAACCTATATGCAGAACAGATTATCCGGGAGGCTGGGCTCTATGAGGAGAAATGTGGGGTCAGGATTGGTGGACGATTTATCAACAATCTGCGTTATGCGGATGACACAACCCTGCTGGCTGAAACTGAGGAGGACCTGAAGCGCCTGCTGCAGAGTGTCAAGGACTGCAGCCTGCAATATGGATTGAGGCTCAATGTCAAGAAGACAAAGATTCTCACCACTGGACCAATCGGCAGCATCAGGATGGATGGTGAGGAGATTGAGATTGTACACAGCTTTAGTTTGCTTGGCTCCATAGTCAACAGTCTTGGCACCAGCAGCCAGGAAATTAAAAGGCGCATTGCCATGGGAAAGTCTGCTGTTAGGGACCTCTCCAAAGTGCTGAAGAGCAGTGGTGTCTCTCTGGAGACTAAGGTGCGTCTGATACAGGCCATGGTCTTCGCAATCACCTGTTATGCATCAGAGAGTTGGACAATGACCAAGGAGGATAGAAGGAGAACTGATGCCTTTGAGCTGTAGTGCTGGAGAAGAGTACTGAGAATACCATGGACTGCTAGGAAAACAAATAGATTTGTCCTGGAGAGGGTTAAACCAGGTGGCTCCTTGGAGGCAAGGATTCTGAGGCTCCGTCTAACTTACTTTGGACATGTAGTGAGGAGAGACCGGTCCTTGGAGAGGGACATCATGCTTGGGAGGGTGGAGGGACGGCGCAGGAGAGGAAGGCCCTCTATGAGGTGGATTGATTCAGTGACTGTGATAATTGGGATGGGAGTGTCAGAGACAGTGCGATTGGCACAGGACAGAGCGGAGTTTAGGGCTGTTCTACATAGGGTCGCTATGAGTCGCAGGCGACTCGACGGCACATAACAACAACAACAACAGCATATTGAGAAGTCTGGTCTGAAGATTTAGAATGTACATAAGATGCCTGAAATCAGTCTTTTTCATCAGAGTGAATTCTTCAGTTTCAAAATTTCTGTTTACCATAAATTTGTAATTTAAACTCATTTATCAACTAAGGTGTACTTGATCTAAGCCATGTATTCTCAAATGCTTACTGTGCATCTGAAACTTGGAGAATGAATAAGGACAACAGAAAAAGAACTGATGCTTTTGAACTGTTGTCTTGGCAAAGCATGCTGACTGTATCATGGTCTGGCAAAAGAACAAACAAGTATGCCTGGGGGAAGTGCAACCAAGCTGCCCTTCAGAGGCAAGGATGGTGAAACTTCATTGCATATACTTGGGAAAGGTTGTTAAGAGGGGCTGGTACTAAGGAAAAAACATCCTGCTGGCAAAGGTCAAAAGTCACAGAGAGAGAGGAAGACTCTCAATGAGATGGACTGATGTGGTAATTGTCACAATGGAATCAAACATATTCTGAGATCATGAGGGTGATGTGGGACGGGGGAAGACTCCGATCTTTTGTTCAAAGGGTTGCTATGAGTCATAGTTGACTGGATGGCACCTAAAAACAACAATCCACTCAGTCTCCAACTCCTGGATAATCTCATTTTATAAACAGATGCTGGACCTACAGCACAGCAAGGATGGAAATAGTATTTTATCATCTATCCTGAGGAAGAAGAGGTTGGTAGTACAAAAAATGACATTAGATATGATAAACATTGTCTTGGTAAAACTTTTATTTTATAGAAAAGATGGCATTTTAGTGGATGGAAACAAAATACTTAAAAACACTATTTTTTTTTCTTTTTTAAAAATCCTGTTTTCTTTGCTATCTGCAGGGCTATCATTTAGATTTCTTTACATTTCAGTCACACTGTCTAAATGAGATGATGGGAAGAGCCTTTAAGTCTCGTGTTCCCATGGTGTCATCAGCTTTTATTGTTTGGGTCTTTTTGCTTAGAAAGGAAGGTGAGAGAAAGGATAAATGGAAGGACTTAGGATAAAAAAAATCAAAATATATCAACAGTAGGAAAGAAAGACTATACTATTTTGTATAGGCTTTCTTGTATTATGGCTTTTCCTTGAAAATGTTATGTGATTTTTAATCAGTCAATTGCAAAGCAAGATTTCATTAGTTAGATGGAATCCTATGTTTTATGTACAGAGTCATGATATATATTTGGTCCATCTGATTTTAATAGCTCAATAAAATGATCTTCAGAGCATATTCACTACCTTAAGATTGTTAATAGGACTTTCAAAAAAAGGAAAATAAAGGTTGTGTTTATATTTGCTTCTCTCATTTGTAGCAGTCCTTGATTCAATCCCAATTCACCCATTTCTATCAATCTACTTTAGAATGAAGTTTCTGGAAAGAGAATACATACAATTTTTCTAAAGAATTTGGTAATTATGTTTTAATTGTGTAGGTAATCAGCTAGCTCCCTGCTATCAGGAAGAACTATGACTTTCCTGGAAAATATTTTAGAGTATTAAGCCATTTAGGGAGCTCTGGTGGGCGTAGTAAGAATCTGTGCTGCAATCCCAAAGACATGCAGTTCGAATCCACCAGCTGCTCCACAGGAGAAGGATGGGGAAGCTTTCCCTGTGCAATTACTGGCTCTGAAAACCCTCTGGAGGGTCAGCTGTGGGTCATTTCTGATTCTATGGCACACAACAACATTAAACCATTTAAGCAATACTCATAGCTTTCTTTTTATTGGTGTTTTTAGTATTTCAACATCCTCAACAACTAAATTAACAGCTATGAAGTAGGAATCAACCCACACCTGACCCTCCAGTAGATTTTCAAAGACTAAATTGTACGGGAGGAGGAGGCTGCCCATCTTTCTTCTTTGGACCAGCAAGATGATTCTAACCACCCATATTTTAACTGGCAGTGCAACTCATTACATGGAGCTCCCTTCTGACATTCTAGGACTTTGGGAAAAAAAGTACTAATATTACTCTTGTCTCTATAAATTATAATCTATTGAACCTTAGAAAAAGAATGATGATCTTATTCATAAGATGGTCTTGAACTCATTCTCCAAAGAGAATTAACTATGTGGGAGAATGAAATCAGATTTTATTTTATAAAAATAACTTTTAAATTAGCATGCTATTTCAAATTACAAGGATTACTCAAACTTGTGGCAAAAATTAGAGTTATGTACAAAAACATAAAAAATGTATCTTTTCCAATTTCCTAAACTGAAATCTGTAGTAATTACTGTTAAAATCTTTCATGGCCTCTCAAATTTTTCCATAAATTTTTATGTGCAAGTATTGTTTTAAATAAATGAGATCCTGTTATGTTCTACAATCTGATTTTCTCTAAGGAGAGATTAGACATTTTCATTCTACCTCATTATATTTTAATAGCTGCCTGGTATTTGATGGTGCAGATATTCCATGGTTGACTCAACCACTTCCTGACAAATGGACATTCAAATTTCCCCCAGTTTCCCTCCATAAAAACCAGTATTATAGCAAAGTTTCCTATGTATACACATATGGGCATTTGTCTCAAACACATTCTCATTAACATTCTACATTTAGAACAAATGGTCAAAAGTGTACATGTTTAAAACAAACTGTTTTTTTACAAGATTGTTTCAATTTATACTTTAAAAAATTATAAATATATATATTTAACAGTGTACTTGGTCTCAAACTCTTAAAATAAACTTAAAATATTCAAATAAGTGAAAAATGTCTCATTTTAATTTGTAAATATCAGTGCAAATTATATTACAGCATTTAGCAGCTTTTTATATATGTATTAACTACCTATATATATCAATTTTTAAAGTTCCTTATTTAATCATATAATCCATTACAACATGAAATATGTATTTTTTTTTTACTTATTAGAAACCAAAAAGAGAGATAAAGAATAACAAATTTCAATCTTATTTGTTATTCTATATATGACTTCCCAATAGTGATTTTTAATTTTTTTTTTAAGCTTTGTACTGGTTTACCAACAAAGTTCATAGTTTGTATACTTTGTTTTCCACAATGGATCTCCCCCCCTTTCTTTATCTACCCTCTCTCTCCACCCAACCAATGATGATTTTTATAGTTTGGTTTCTTTATATTCTATGGCTGCTAGGCTCAATATAACATTAGTAATTGTTGTTATTATTGATTGCCTTTGAGTCAAACACGACACATAGCGACTCTATGAACAAAAGGCCTGAAGCCTTTCTATAACTATGACATTTATCAAAGTTCATAGACATTCCAGAGGCATGTTTTTCAAGAAGTAGATGCCACTCCTGCTTCCAAACATTAGTAATTAATTCTGAAAATTTTAAATGGCTAATTGTGTCACTTAATGAAATCTTATATTTCATATCTGTCTCCAACTTGTGCTTATTAAAGGAGTACTATCTCAGCAAGATTAATGTGCCAAAAATCAAACCTGAGATTTCAATTTTGTCTTTAAAAAATGTTAACAGCCACAGTGATCATTTGGGTGCATGCTACGAATGCAAGACAACCTATTCTCAGAAGGTCTTAACATTTCCATATAAAATAGTCCAACAGAACTTACTTCGAATTTGTTTTTTTATTTCCTTAGAAGGGTCCAGCCAATTCTGAAAAGAAAACGATATTTTGAATTTGAATCAAAGAAGAATAAACATTACTTCACATTGATCAGAGACAGACATCCACTAATGTGATTATCCCCTAATGGTGACATTCACAAGTGAGCATGGCTTTGGAGACGCCCCGGGGGCAATGGGCCTTCCCAGCATGATACTGAGACCAAGCAGTGGCCTAAGAAAGGAATGAGAAAACCATGTGCATACACTGTTTGTCCTTGACAAAATTCTTTTTCTTTTGCAACCATTGCCTTCAAAGATTCAAGTGAGCACAGAAATAAAAGGAAAATAAAATAACTCCATGTTCAAAGGAGTTACTTGAATAAATTAAAAACATGAAACTTGACTTGCCATACTTATGTTATGGCCGTTGTGAGCCCTGTGACTTCAGATGTTCATGAACTTACCTGGGAAACTTCTCTCAACAATGAACACTTGCCAGAAGTGTGTGGGGTTTTTTTTTTCCTCCCAGAAAATCTAATGTTTTAATGTTTGATGAGTAGTGGCTATTTAAGCTTGATCCATTTCATGCATCACAACAAGTTATCAAGAACAAAATTTATTTAATTTCATTTCTATCCTCTAATACAACAGAAATATTCTTTATTTTCCAGGTGGTTATAGGGATTAGTAAAGCAAAGCCCTGGACCAATCAGATGTTAGAGTCAACAGAGGTGTTTTGTTACACACTAACGTGTTCTAGAAGAATGCACCAATTGAGGCTGGCAAATGACCCATGTATCTCATATTCTGGTTTGGTAAGAACATGAAAGCATAATCAGTTGAATTAAAAAGGAGGACAGCAGCCCAAGTCTTGAACTACCTCAACAGCTTTTATCACACAACCCTGCTATCGTTATAGAATTGTGTGACTTGAATAGTTTTAAAATAAAAATATCACTGTATCTTATTTTCACTGGCTCAAATAATATGGCTCAACTGTGATTTTTTTTAAAAAGGCATCATATAAAAATCTTTAGAATCATAAACAAATACTGCACTAAAATCAAAGAGCTGAACTTACATTGTGTTTCAAGAATAAGACTAAAGAACATTCTACACAATTTCCTTATGAGGACGCAGGTGATGAATAGCACTGGAAGATGCAAAATGGAAAGTGCGGGGATGTGAAAAAAGACTCACTTATTTAGTTTTTTGGGTTTGGCTTTTTTTAAATTTTCAGAATATTTTAAAAAATTTGTTTGCATATAACAATTCATATACATTGTGTTTTGTACAGGTAATTTGTGCTTTATGCATTCACATACATTATATTTTATATAGTTAATTACCACCCCCATTAAACCTTTCCCATTACTTCACCCCTCCACCCACTAGCCTATGCTATCTCAGTAATTTTTCCTGCTTTCTCTTTTTCTGTCTCCTTTCTTCTGAACATTTATACATATCTTACTCAGTTTTCCTCCTTTGACAACAGAGGCCTTACACAATATTTGCCCTTAAATGACATTTCATTCAGCAAAATGCTCTACAGTCTCTTCCAAGTTATAGAGTGAATGTACTACAGTTTCTCAATCCGTTTGTTTGTTGATGGGCATTTGTGAATAGAAATTTGTACACGTATGTCCATAGCAGCATTATTCACAAAAGCAAGAAAATGGAAGTACTTGTTTAGTTTTAACCCATGTGTGGTAAAAGGCTGTTAAAAAATCCATTGTATTTTGTTGCTTTTAATCTCTCACCTTTTGGTTTTCAGCGTCTCGATATGTAAGCCCAAAGTAGTCCTTCTCAAGCAGGTTCAGGTGTTCACACACTTTATCAAACAGCACTTGACCTCTGGAGCGCTTCTATGGAAGAACAAAACACACAGAAGACTCTGTCAACAATCACGGATGAAAGTGGATAAAATGTTTGCTAGTGCGGTTCAAGAAGCAAGTAACAACTGTGACCGCTTCATCAGCACATGCTTAACTAGGAGAGTCAGCAGAGTAGACTACAGTGGGTTTGCACCTAGGAACCTCAGAGCTAAGCCAAGATGGTCTGGACAACAGAACAAAGGATTCCTCTTGAGTCACAATGAACTAATAGAAACTAGTAAAAGTAGAAAGGATGCATTAAGGCGTAGATGCTTACGGTGTTGACTAAGTTAAAAAGATAGGCCCACAATCACCACTCAAATCCAAGGAAAGAAATAAGCTTTCCCGCAGCATCAATGAAATGTCTCACAAGGAACATTCTAGAAGATGTCTTCAAATATCACATGCATGGTTTACTAACCACAGACCTTGCCAAGGAATCTTGTGTCTAATAGGGTGGCTAAATTGTCTATTAAAATGGTTATTTTTATTTCTAACTTTACAAATTATGTTAAACTTTTTAGGAAATTTCAAACATGTGCAAGAGCAGAGCAGATAATATAATGAAAGTGCAACTACTCATCATCCAGTTTCAGCCGTTACTGTCAGAGTCACAACCTTGTTGCATCTGCAGTTACACCCAACTCCTCATCCCATTGGTTGTTGGTAACTCTGAAGCCTCTGATGTAAATTATTCTCTCGCACACAGAGAAAGAACTCTACTTTGAAAAAAAAATTCTATTTTTGAAAAAAAACTTTAAAATCAATGCTTTTATCACACCTAAACAAAAACTCCAAGAATCCCCTAATGTTATCAAATATATAGTTAGTAATTTAATTTCCTCAATTGTTTCAAAAAGACTCTTCTTATTTGTATGCTAAACCCATACATTGCAATTAGTTGATTTATCGCTTTAATCTTAATCTTTAAGCCCTTCACTTATCCTGGTTCTCTGCCTGAAATGAATTGGAAGAAAGCAGGTCATCTATCTGGAGAGTTCCCACAGTCTAGATTTTAGCTATTTGCATCTCCATGGTGTTACATAATATTTTCTCCTCTCCTCTTGATTTCCTGGAATTTGGTAGTTAAGTCTGAACATGTGATCGGATTCCTGTTTTAATTTTTTCCCTGTAGATGAAGCTCTGTAGTCTCATAGGAAAGCTTCTCTTTCACGGTATTCACAACCACAGACAAACCCTAGAGCCGTTCACTCTAAGTTGCAAAATGCTGATCCTCCAATTCCAACCCTACCCTCTTTATTTGTCAGCTGTTGTGCATCTATGGAGAAACACTTCTCTGACTGGTATAGCTTGACCCCAAAAGGATAAATCTTTACTTCTTTTTCTATTATCTGTTTCAAAACTATGAGTAGGCTTCCTGGTAATGTCTGAAGTCACCAATTAGATTTTCTATTTTAAAACATCCCTGTTAACTTATTCAAACAGGTCTGATGCATTTCAATCAAATATAAGGAACTGCTGCCCATGTTGACAGATCAATGTCTCTGGCCGATCTGTTCTGCTATGGGCATCCGGATGCACAGGCTCGGTGGGAGGAGTAAGACCTCCTTTTCCCCTCCTAATTTGCCCAGATGACATGCACTATCTAAGCTCCACCCTCTCCTTTTCCCATGTTCCAATGTAACCAGGCAGAACTCTGGCACTAATTGCTAAACTTTTCCATTTCCATCCAGCCTACCCTAGTTCAGGCACTCTTTTTACCATGCCTTTGAAAGGATTGCTCCAACTGTATGCTAACTTATTCGGGTCACAACCTCTGGCTTAGGAAGAGAAAGCTGGCCTTGCTCAGAACTCCTCAGGTACCTTGCTTGCCATCAATGGAGTTAGGCCCATGCAGTCAAGACACCAATGAAGGATCACAGACGATGAAGTCTTAACCCATGCCATCTGTCAGCAATCTCCAGACTGTGCTGTGGAATGACTATCCACCGTGAATTTGATTCTGAAAGGTGGAACTTCCCCTACAACTGTTTTTGCTCATGGAGGCAGACTCCATAGGAAATGTCTCGTTCTTTCCTGCAAAGTCCCCTCAACTCTTGAGGATTTCTCCCCCTAGTTTCTCTTCTCTGAGGTATTTCCTTTCCCAGCCAAACCTGAATTCTCTCTCCCCTGAACAATGGAGAACTTTATAGCACTACAATGGCTCTGTCCACAGTCTCTCCATGGTTATCTCTGTGCATGTTCTTCATATCCCCATTGACCTCTGAACAACTGGTGGGTTTGAACCGCTGACCTCTGGTTGGCAGCCTAGCACTTGACCTATGACACCACCAGGGCTCCTTTTCCTGTTGTGCTGCTGTGGAGAGAAGGTGTCCACTCTGACTCACAGCATTCCTGTGTCAGAACAAAACCCTGGCCATCCTCAGCATCTTCATAATCTCTGCTATGCTTGAGCCCACTGCCATTCTGTCTCATCCAGAGTCTTCCTCTACTTCCATGGCCCTCCACTTCACGTATGATGTCCTTCATCAGGGACTGGCCCCTCCAGATAACATTCACTCAAAACTTCATGAACTCTTCACAATTGTTATGCATAAGAGAGCTGAACAATGACTAAGGATGACAGAAGACGAATCAATGCTTTTGACTTGTGATAGATTCTGGAAGCAATTTAAAAATGCTACACAAAGTATATGTACAAAACATGATGTTGTTGTTGTTGACTGCTGTCGGGTCGAGCGTGACTCATAGTGACCCTATGAACACAAGACCTGAAGCCTTTCTATAACTATTGACATTTATCAAAGTACATAGAGTTTCAGAGGCATTTTGCTTAGGAAGTGGATGCCACTCCTGCTTCCAAATGAATATGTAAGCTAATGATTTTTGTTTTAAATGCCTTTTATCCATGCATACTTCAGGTATTTCTCCAATGGGCTGTGAGAACTGGACAAAATTTCTGGAGCTGGGCCAGAGACATCTACATTTTAAACTTCTCAGGTGATTCATGGTTGAAAGGCACACTTTATGATAAATGACGTTTGTAAGTTAATGTCAATCTAAATATGAAGACTAAGCTGCACTACAGTCCCAGAGGCATGGGGTTTGAACCCACCAAATGTTCTGCCAGAAAATGAAATCTCCTCCCAGGAGATCTTCTGCCTCTGAAAACCCACTGGAGGGTCTGCTATGGGTTGGTTCGATGGTAAATAATAATAACCACCAAGGAATTGTGTTTCTTTTAAAAATAAATTTACAGCTTTGATTTATACTTTTTCAGATTTAGTTCAGGCCTGACCCAGTTTCTTTTATACTTTATTTATTTACATATTGACACATGCTTAAAATCTTAAGACATTCTAATCAATTTCATGGCAAATAGAAATTCCAAGAAATAAATGCTAAGGTAAAAATGTTAAAATAAAATGATGCAGAAAAGAAATAATAAGTCACCAAACACCGGGGGGGGGGGGGGAACCCCATGCTAATTGCGTTAAAGATATGAAGCAAACATTGAATTTGAAATGTTCTGAAGTTTGTTGAGGTAATTCTTTCTATTACGTTAGCCTTTGTTTAGCTAAAATCTAGGCATTTCTCAGGATTGTGCCATCACACTAAAGAATGAAGCCAGGCAGGTCAATAAATGTCTTCATTTCCTGCTGTTTGCAGACAGGTGCACTGGGCTTCCCTCATGGCCCAGTGAACTGACTGAAGAAGAACTTTGTAGGTAGAGGGATGACCTGAGGGAGGTGCTCAGAAGCTCGGCACAAGCTTTCCTAACAGGCACAAAAACACCACACACAGTCTAGAATTCGTCTAGCATTATTTAAACACATGTGCAAAAGGATACAGGGACATCATTGCACTTTGCAGATACTGCAGACTTGACAAATCAAAGATCTGTGGCAGTAGTGCGTTGTATAAGTCTGCGGTGTTGAATAAGTCCACTGGTGCCACTTTTCTAACAGCATGTGCTCACTCTGTGTCTGTGTCACACTTTCTGGTAGGTTGTTATTGTTTTAATTTTTATTTTATGTTGGTTTGCTTTCAGAGTTTGTAAACATTGTATTTCACACTCTTCTTCATTCACAGTGTGTTTTGTATAATCATTCTGATGTATAATGTTTTATGAAATTAATCACCATTGGATCTTGCCCATCATTACCTTGTCTTTTCAGGTCCTCACACGGGATCTTTCCCATTTCCTTCACCCTCTCCCTTTACCCATCAAATTGTGCAACTCTGTGATATTGCCTCTACCCATCCTCACCCTTTTACCTCTACCCATTCTCATCCTTCTACTCCTTTGCCTTCCCTCCTTGGGTCCCCATACATATTTTACTAGTTATCTGTCTATTTTAAAAATAATGGTCTTATGCAGTATTTGTCCTTATGAGAATGAGTTAGTACACTTAGCATAATCTTTAGTTTCTTTCAGTTATGTACACATTCTAGTAGTTTAAAAAAAGTTTAACTATTTAAAACATCTTCCTAATGTTATTGCACATTTTATAGAATAGTTGTTCTTGCTAGGTGCTGACGAATTGGAACAAACTCATAACTGACCTTCTGGTGGGGTTTCAGAGGCTAGAAAACACATGGGAGGAGAATGCCCATCTTCGTCTCTTGGAGAGAATGTTGGTTTTGAACCATGTGTCTATGGGTTGGCACCACAACTCCTTATCCCTAGGCCACCAGAACTCCCTTGATAGATTACAGTGTAGTGTAACTTATGTAGTGTAATCTTTATGTGCACTGACAACTGAAGAACTCATGTGACACTTTTATTGTGGGGTCAGGACCAAATCCGCACTATCTCGGAGGTATGCTTGTGTCCACATGCATTCAAGTCATTTTTACAAGTGGAGAACAACACACAGTTGTGCATGTTTTAACTCTAGTTCTATTCTGTGACATCAGACAAGCTATTTAACCTTGCTGAGGGTCACTGCCTTTCATTTTAAAATGGAAATAACACTTGCATTTAATCATCAGTGGTTGTAGTAAGCACAGTAGAACACTGGAGAACA